TCACAATTCACGACGGCAGTGGATCCGCTCGATCGGCCATAGCGGTACGTCACGCGAGCATTCGGGATGCTCAGCCACGGGCAGGGGTCCTGGGGACCTACGGGAAACGACACATGGCGAAGATGAAGTCACAGGATTTAAGAATTGTGTCAAGTTGGTTTCGGTCACTTTGCACACACCTGCATATTGCTCATCACCTCTGAGCTCCCTGGGCGTTATCAAATGTGGAATACAGTCAACTTAATGAACAACGACCTCCAGTATAACAACTGCATGAACTCGCGAATAACGACACGATCTTCAGGCCAAGTGACGGCTTGACCGCATCCTTCAAACCTCTCGAAAAAGGATACCTCATGAATATCGGCGCTTTGCTGGTGCACCATCCAGGGTCAGTATTTGCAAGGCGAACTGTACAAGTTTTGGAGCACTACATGTAGTTGCAAATGTCAGCTGATCAGGAATGCACCGTTCAATACACGGAGAGTCATGCATCAGGTGGCCTGCTGGCTGCACAAGCGTGCCAATAATGTCATTGAACCACAATCGACTTATCGTCCACAGGCGACAGCTATTCGTTTTAGCCAAATGCTCATGGAGACATTTGGGGAATAGAAGACATACCTGTGTGCAGAGGATGGATGGAGAAAAAGAAGAGAGTGAAAGGTGTGGCAGAGAGACAAAGAGATGAGCAACAACACGCTTACTAGAAGATTCGCATATCACACGCAGTTTGGTACTAGCTGAAACGGCCACATTGTCACTGTTGAGCGCCTTGGAAGCGCCCTCGGTTCCCCGCAGCCACACGGGGAGAGCATCGCGATTCTGCCGCAACAGCTCATGCACACAGGTTAAGTCGCTCCTGCGTGGCAGACGCCCGCTTCGCTGTGAGCACAGCTGCTTGGCGGAGACGTGAGAGTGCTTGTGTATCGGCAGAGTCGGGTAGTAGAGGACGGTGCCGCTGGCTGAACAGCTCAGGAACTCTGCACACGCACACGCACACACACACACACACACACACACACACACACACACACAAGCACACACACACACACACACACACACACAAGCACACATACGCACAACACAATCGACAAAGTGTCTGAGGTCCTTGCTGCAAATAGTGCTCAATGCCCTAACAAGGGCAAAGCGTACTACACAAGGCAGAACTACAGAGACCAAAAACGTTCTCGTGACTCTGAGTTTCGTGTTCAAAACCACTCATCAGGCGACACAACACAGTGGAAGTATTTTCTAAACACGCTTGGAATTAGACCTGCATGTAGAGTCATCCCTCTAAAATGTCCCATTCAGGCCTGCTGCACCAATAAATCAGATTTTGTAAATCCAGCACCCTCTCTAATTCAGCAGATAAATAACATTATAGTTCGTTTCCAAAATGGTGCTGAATGATAAAGGGACCTCTGTACTATATTGTTAAAGGTAGTCACTTTGCACACCGTGTGTGTATGTGGGTGTGGATGCCACAGTGCCACCTGGAGCTACCGGAACGTCGGCACCGGCGGAGGGATGTTGTGTCGCGCATTGTGACAGGTGTGGTCGCTGCTTTCGCGGTGTCCGGGGACGGGGCAGGCATCGCTGTTCAAGGGTGGCGCATAGACAAACAGCAGAGGAGCGCTCAGCCTTCCAGCACGTGTGCATATGTGGCAAGCGGATGCGACTACCCGTGCACCTGGAGCGTCATCGGGCGTCGTGTCCTCTCTCTCTCTCTCTCTTCTCAAGTTTCTCAGTGATGGGATCACGTGACCCTTTTGCGGCAGTGACTCTACAGGACGGGACAGGACAGGTGTGTGTGTGTGTGTGTATGTATGTATGTGTGACAAAATTGCACATCGGCGGTTGGAGTGGTTGGGGCATGTGGCGCGGATGCCGGACAACCGCATCCCAAAACAGGTACTGTTTGGCTCCTTCTTGCAGCGTCGCCCAGCACATGGCCCACGCCGCAGATGGAAGGACTGTGCTGTCCGAGATCTACGTGCCCGTGGCGTGGAGGCATCATGGTATGATGTTGCATGTGAGTCTCGCGCGGAGTGGCGCAGCACCTACCAAGAGCCTGACAATGTGCCTGAGCCTCCGCCCCGAGTGGTATGTACGGTATGCGGACGGGATTTTGCACGGAAAGGAGACATGGCTCGGCATAAGTGTCTGGAGGAGCGTGCGCGGCCTGTGTCTGAGCAGCGGGGCGCCAGTCAGTGCGGGCGGTGTGGGCGGTGGCTGAGAAGCCGCGGTGGCTTGGTCCGGCATGTGTGTGCCTCAACGGTGGATGCCGCAGTGCCACCTGGAACTACCGGAGCGTCGGCACCGGCGGAGGGATGTTGTGCCGCGCATTGTGACAGGTGTGGTCGCTGCTTTCGCGGTGTCCGGGGACGGGGAAGGCATCGCTGTTCAAGGGTGGCGCATAGACCAACAGCAGAGGAGCGCTCAGCCTTCCAGCACGTGTGCATATGCGGCAAGCGGATGCGACTACCCGTGCACCTGGAGCGTCATCGAGCGTCGTGTCCTCTCTCTCTCTCTCTCTTCTCAAGTTTCCCAGTGATGGGATCACGTGACCCTTTTGCGGCAGTGACTCTACAGGACAGGACAGGACAGGTGTATGTGTATGTGTGTGTGCGTGCATGCGTGTGTGTGTGTGCGTGTGTGCGTGCATGTGTGCGTGCATGTGTGCGTGTGTGTGTGTGTGTGCGTGTCTATGGTAAAGGTAACATCACATTTGAACAAACTCTGACCATTGCTTCACGCAGCTTCATTGTCTCACATTGGGCTGTTGGCAATACAAAACATTCACAAAGATTGTAAGTTTGTAAATGCACAGTGGACACAGCCATCACATGACCAATATCTGTCAGGTCATGTGTTTAACCACATAATCTGATGGGTGATGCCAACACTTACGCAGAAAGCTACACATGATGTGGAGTCGCTGGTCGGCGAGTGACTTGCTTCCCAGCCAGGTCGATACCGTGGTTGTTGGGGAGACTTGGCTCTGCGCCGTCCTCAGCCATAGCTTGCTAGCCCACTGTGTGCTGTCAACGAGTATCTGCACACAGGTGCTCAGGCTGGACCAAGGAAGGACAGCTCCGAACACTGCACACCGCTTCTCTGCCAGGGTGTAGTTGGACGCTTCCAGCAATGGTGGAGTGAAGATTTTGTACTGGGTGCCCGGACAATCCACCTCATCTAAGCAGAAAAGCATATTGTTTTATTCGCCAGAATAAGATTGACAGAGAACTACATGAGCAAGAGCACAATATATTACAACTATACTTTAGAACGACAAGCAAGGAACTAATCGAAATCAGGAAACGAATAACTGACATAGATGACAGAGTAGACTACCCGCTCTACTTCAAACACTACGCATGCCGTACACATGGCAAAGCAGTTGACAACAGTCTACAAGGCATGCATGTATAATGTGCAGTACACACAGAGCAGCGTATGGCGTACAGATCATGTACAGACAGACTATGGATTCAAACATAACACATATCACCGTAAGATCATAGAAGAGAGGAGAGAGAGAGAGAGAGCACAGCCAAAAGGTCATCCGTATCCAGAAGGTACCTCTTGCCTTTGCGGGAAGTGTGTGGGGCCAGCCACATACTCCATGGGTAGTGGTCCCGAAGAGGCACTTTACGGTTAACCATGCAGTCACGTAATGATTATGCACATAGAGCGCATACCAAGGTTTTCGGGCCATTGTTCGGTGCAAGCCACAATCCACATCAGACTTTCTTATGTAACTCGGATGGAGAGCCAATTAAATTATTGTGAAAAGAAGAAGGACAAGATGTTACGAGTTATGACTAACTGTCCACCAACGTAACCAGATCTTATACAGTCAGCGAGTGCGACAAAATGGCACAAAACTGACAAGGAGTTCTGAGACATCCGGGGGTCAGGTCGTCGAATGTCTCAGTACTCCTTGTCAGTTTTGTGCCATTTTGTCGCACTCGCTGACTGTATATGATCTGGTTACGTTGGTGGACAGTTTGTCATAACTCGTAACATTTTGTCCTTCTTCTTTTCACAAGACTTTTTTATCTTATTTTTAAACATCAACATCATTGTGACACTTGACAGTTTCGCACAAGCATGCACACATGCACATGAACACTCCTCTCCGCTTGCGCGCACACACACACACACCATCACAAACACACACAAACACAGACACACGGATCTAGGCAAGGCTTTAACCAGTTCAATTGGAATAGGCAATGTACTGGAGGGACGAGCAAAGACAGTGTGCTGCTGCCCTCCGTCTTCCATTCTTTATGATGCAGTTGCGCGATGTCCACCACTTTAGTAGAATCCATGATGTATATATTGGCGATAGGAGAACACCTGTCAAAGAGCAGAATAGAGTTCCAAGTGACGAAAACAAAGTGTACCTTCTTTGCAAGTCGGCATGGCGCTCCAAATGCCTTGCTGGATGCTCTGCAACAAGCAATGGACGACTATGCCGGGACGCAGGCCGAAGATGTTCTGGCACTGGAATGTGAAATTATCTCCGACTCTACCCTGGTAGCTGCCGAGACTCGTTTGGCCAACAACACCGCGAAGAACCGAGTGAGGGTCTGCACAGTATCCAGCAATCCCTGCGAATCACAAAGCAGAACAGATACCACACCTTTAATTTTACAAAAAAAGAAATTGCAGCCATCAAAGTAGTGCCTGAATACGCACACAGATGGGCAAAAAAACAGATGCGTACATATGTCCATATGCCTGCCCAACCATGTACCAGCAGGCCACACCCCATTGGTCAACAAATGTGTAAACCAAGAATGAGTGTATATGGAACCTGAGACCAGAAAAGGTGACAAGTGAATGTTCTCCCACAATAAGGTGTCGCACGCATGCACACATGCACACACGGGTGCACAGACACAAACGCACAAACATGCATGTGTTGTAGTACGTTATTTTGTGTACGCTGTTGTAGTGCCCACGTCTACATATGCGCTGTGGCATTC